GGAGAAACCCAACTTGGTTGGAATATATTAACTTTTTATATATTGCTGGATTTGGTCTGCTAATATTTTATTTAGGATTCTTAATCTGCATGCATGAAAGAGACCAAATGAGATCAATTTTTTATTCTCTAATTTTGGTATCCAGAGTAGGTAGACTAGCCTTGTTAAATCAGTTGTAGGAATACTCCTTCTTTTTCTATTCTTTGTGTGCCATTTATCAATTCACTGCCTCTCAGCTACAGTCCCATCTGTCACTACCTGCCCTGTGACAATGGAGCTGGATCCTTAAGCATTTCTCCTTTGCAGTGAGCACAGTGTCAAGTTTTGTCAGCTGGAGGGACATTGCAGGAAGGAAGGACTTTTCTTCCTGGTTCCCCAGTAGATGTGTTTTTGCTTTTTCCTCCTATCGTGTGATGACTGTGTATGTGTGTGTGTGTGTGTGTGTGTGTGTGTGTGTGTGTGTGTGAGAGAGCTATCCTGTGGTGCTCTACCTCCATCACATGCCCAGAGCATAAAGCCCCTAAGAGAGCTTGCAGTCCTAGCCCCAGCCTGGTGACCTCATCGTGGTCCATCTGATGTGGACACCGCACACCCCAGGCCTCCCACCACCTGGCCAGCCAGTGGGCTCCCGAAGCCCTGACTCCCACTGTGTGCTGGCTCACCAGCCTTGGCCCACTTGCACCCACAAGGCTGTTTCCCATTTGCCCAATGTCTTAGGACCAGCTCTGGCCGAGGACAGCTCAGTGGACTTCTCACAATGGTTTGGGCTATAATCACCCCTTCTCCTGTGAGGTCTGAATGCTAGACTTGGGAAAGGGTCCTCCCTCTTCCAAGGTTATTCCTTCCCTAGCCACTCTCCCTTGGCCCTAGGGGAGTCCTTAGTGTTCTCTTTACTCCTTTATTGTTGCTTTCCTATCGTCAAAAATCTTCATATTAAACTTTCCATGTTTAAATCACTGTATGACTTTTGTCTCTTGATCGGACCCTAATTTATGCACCTTAGAAGAGTTTGTGTGAGTTTGGAAAGATGTCTTCCTAGAAAGAGCTAGAGTTAACACGTTCCCCCCCACGATCTTGGGGCTCCTTCTGTCGGAAGGGCTGAGATGAATCTGGCCCTTCCAGCTGCTGTAGTGACAGTAGGGACATCCCGTGTTGCCTCAGTCTCGGCTGGCTGGGGTCTAAATCCACAGGGCCAAATCATAGGTAAACCAGCTAAAGACGTGAAACTTTTGGAACAGCCATTCACTGTGTGTATTTGGGTTTGTGAGCAATTCCTGCGCACGAGAGGTTGTGTGTGTGTGTGTGTTCGTGTGAGCTCTCCCTGTGCTGTCTGTACAGGCACAATGAAAATGCATAAAAACAAATGTAAAGTTCACAGTTAGATTTTATCTTAACTTTTGGGGTTTTCGTCTTTGACAAAGCAAGCTGGTATAACCTTTTCTGTTAGGTTCTAGCTTAATGACTCATAAGTAAAAAAGACCAATTTGGGTAAATATACTGGCTCACAAGTGTGCAATGGGCTTAAACTTTCTTTTTCTTTGCTTTAAGGATTTCGACTCTTTCTTCTCTGCAAAAGAAGAGAATATTATTTATTCGTTCCTTGGTTTGGCTCCCCCTCCAGGCTCAAAGGTAAGCTCAAATGCTTCATTGGTGTTCAGCATAGATTATAATAAATGAAGGTAGAAATTAGCATCCAAGACACTTTAATAAATGATCTTTGAATTAACAAGGTTTTAATACATTCCTTATTCTGATGAAGACTTACACATAGTGATAATAACAATTTTTTCTAAAAAAAGTTCCAAAATTGTGCATTTCATATTTTTGCTGTTTTCCCCTTGTTATAGTCAATTTTACGATACCTAAGAAATACCGTGACATTCAATAATCTTAAGCGCTTTAATTAAATATGTAAAAAATTAAGGTCCCAAGTTGTGTTTATGAAATTATTTTGTTATGAATTGACTTCTCCTATAGCTTTATGTTGGTTAATTTCATAATGATATGTGCCCTCTATGTTAATTATTTCTATTTAGAATAAACTAAACTTCGCATTTTGGTCTGATATGAAGGGGACAAATAAGATCTAGACTGAAGAACAAGATAGATTTTATCAGGCTTTTTTTCCTCCAGTGTTATCTGATCTTTGACTCTGTGTAAAATTAGAGAATTATGCCAATACTTTGACCTTGTGTACACATTTGTTTGATTCACGTGAATTGCTAAGACTTGCTGACGGACCGTAGGTGGGTAGGGGTAGAATCAATGATACTTCTAGCCACTGTGTGTAGAAATTTGCGCTGATGGAGGACCAAGCTTACAGGAGGATATGAAGTTTGAGTGAGGCATCGAGGGAAGAAGCCAAGTGGGTGATTGCATATTGATCTGCGTCTCAGTGACGTCTGGTTGGAGATGCACACGTGGAAGCCACAAGCACGTGGATGGAGTAAAAGTCGTGGGAAGTGGATGGGACCAAATCACGAGAGAGCTGACAATAAGGAGGCCAGGGCAGGGAGCTTCAAGCTTAAAGTTGAGGGAGGATGTGGAGAAGCCTGCTGAGGAGGCGAAGGTGGGGAGTCTGAGAGGCAGGAAGGGCCCAGAAACGCGTGGTGGGGAGAGGCCCAGGAGAAGCTTGGCTCTTCCCAGAGGAGGGTGAGGTTAGTTGTGTCAAATGCTGCCGAGATTGAGTCAGGTGAGGGCAAAAATGTGACCATGGGCTTTGACAATATGGAAGTCATTGGTGGCTGTGACAAAAGTAGTTTCTGAGGAGTGGTGGAGACAGAGGCCGTGTGGTGTAGACAGAATGGTCTAAGGGGGACTGCCAGTGGCTGGGAGGGACCGTGTGTGGATGGTTGTTTGGGGGGATCTTCCTGTGAAGGGGAGAGGAAATGGGAGGCGTCATTGTTTATAAAAGCCCTCTGCTCCTTCCCTGCCATTGGACATTTTGGCAGAGTCCCTTCAGTCCTGCTTGCTGCCAATCACCTAGCTTCCTCTCTCCTGCCTACCTTCTAGAAAGTTCTCTCACCTCTTTTCTTAACCCAAAGTCTCTCTCTCTCTCAGTAGTCATCTCTCACATTCCTACTGCTTCTCAGTCCCCTCTTTCCAGACCCCAGACCAGTGGGTGGTGGGAGGGTCCAGTTTTTACAAAGGCCCATTAAGGGGTTTTCTAAACAAAAGGGACTTTATTGTCCCTGGTCAATAATAATTTGGCAAAGCTTTGAAATGAGAGCTTTTCTTTGACCTTTCATAGGTCACATTCTTAGAGCTACCCTCTTCACTGAGAGTCACAGTGAACAGAAGGGAGAGAGTGATAGGAAAATGTATTATTTTCTTCATTCCTTTTCTTGTAACATTAGGATTTTTAAAAATGTGGCTATAGTCTTCAAAATGATCATTTAAAACATTTGTCTAATACTCTATCACCTTGATGTATCCTAATTGACTTAGTGATTCCTTTAGTTTTAATTTTTATTTACTATTGTATCAAAAGCGTGTTTATGCTGTGATAATTTCATATTGGGCATCTAAATAGTTTCTACGATATTCTATTGAGTTGATGTGCCGTGGTTTTTCTTTACTGTGCTTATATTTTTGAACCTTTGCTTGCTCACCATTTTTTATTATAAATAACTGCTCTGATTGTCATGAAGAACTGGTATTCTTTATTTTAGAGTATTTCATTAGTATAAATTCCCAGTAGTTCTTTCAGTGAGGCAAATGTGCACGAATATTTTTATGGATTTGAAATGTGCCACCAAATTGCTTTCTGAAAGGATTATAGTATTTTTCCTGCCACACTGCAATGGACCAGCTTCCCAGTACTTTCCAGAGATGAGCATATTTAATCTCCTTGGTCTTAGGACCAGTAGATTCTATTTTAGAAAGTTGTTTCTGATTTTACTGTGCTATCAAGAGGGAATTTGGTGTGATGAATTTCTGTCTTGAGTGCATTTTCGTAACCCAATGTGTATTTTTTCTTTTTTGTTTGATATTTTATTTTTACTGACAAATAATGTATATTTATCATGTACAACATGATGTTTTGAAATACATATACATTGTGGATTGGCTAAATTGAGCTAATTGCATTTTCTCACATCCTTATCATTTTTTGTGGTGAGAACACTTAAAATCTACTCTTAGTGATTTTCAAAATACAGTACATTGTTATTTACTATAGTCACCATGTTGTACAATAGATCTCTTGAATTTGTTTCTCCTAACAATGGGTCTTTTCATTTCTCTATGAAAAGACTGTTTTTGGGATATTAAAACATTAATTTTTCTCAAATTATTACATGTATGATATTGGAAAGGTCAAATCGTCCTTCAAGGATTGTTATGAAAACAGCAGGCCCTGCTCGAACATGGCATGTCAGAAAATGTCTTGTTTTCCCTGCTTTTGTTCACAGTTTGCTTAGGTGCAGAAGTCCAGATGGGACACTATTGCACCTCAGAACTGTGAAAAAAGTGCCACTCCGTACTCTCTTCTCGCTCCCATAGTTGCTCTTGAGAAACCTGATGCCAGTCTGTCTCCTGGTCTTTTATATCTGCCTATTTTTGTTTTTCCCAATTCTGGGAGATTTTAGGAGTCTCTTTTTTTGTTTTGAAGTTATATATTGTGGGGCCTGGTGTAGGTCTTTTCTTCATAATTTGTGCTGGGCATTTAGTGGGACTTTTTAACCTGGAAAGTCACGTTCCTCAGTTCTGGAGAATGAAATATTAGAAGACTATTTCTGTGGCTATTCATTCCTTTTCCTTTCCATTTTCTTTTCTTTTCTTTTTTCTTTTTGGAATTCTTCTTATTTAAATGTGGGACCTCCTGGACTACTAATTCTCTAATTTTATCTTTTTTCCCCCATTTTCCATATTTTTGTCTTTTTCTAATTTCTGGCATATTTCCTCAACTTTCTACTTTATCTTCCCTCTATTGGTTTCCCCCCCCATTTATCCTATCTTATTTGTACTTCTAAAGCTCTTTTTTTGTTATCTTTGAATTTTTTTATTAAATAGCTTCCATTCTTGTTATATGGTTCATTATTTTAAATAAGTCTGAGTTTATTAAGTATTTTTTTTACATCTTCTTCAACTCATTGCATTCTCTGTTTTCTTTAAGTATCCTTTTTCTCTGTTTGCTGTCCTTTTTATTTTTATGTAAGATGTTTTCCTCAGATGTCTGGTGACCCTTGACTGTTTGTATCTAAGATAGAGTACTAAAAAGTTGATTAGAAGCCCTGTGTCCATGGGTGTGGCAGGCTTCACCATAGGAGAATGTAAAGATGAAACATTGGCTTTTGTTTAGGGATCTTGAACTGTGGGCTTTTTCTATTGGTTTAGGTGAGTTTGCTTAGAGAGGAATCCTCCATCTCTTGGGGTGGTGGCAGTGATGGTGGTGGTAGTGGTGCTGGTGATGGTGTGGTGGTGGTGGTGGTGGTGGTGGTGGTGGTGATGGTGGTGATGGTGCTAATGATGGTTATGATAGTGGTGATGGTGATGGTGGTGGTGGTGGTAAACAGGAAGTAAATCTGGCTTCTAGGAGCAAGTAGGAAAGCAAGTGAGAAAGGCAATAGGCCGTTCTTCCCTATCGTGATGTGGACTTCTCATAGAGATCCCTTGTTCTCAGTGTGGTTCCCCCTTCAGCTGGCCTCATGCCCAGGAGGTCAGATTCCCTCTGGTTTAACTCCTGTAGAGACAAGAACTGCTATTTAGGAGGAGACAGTTACCTGCTTCTTCTTTCCCCCCATCCCTCTGTGTAAGCAATTAGGTTTCAGAATTTTTCTGGTTAAGTCAATCGTTACTCAACTGTTCCCTTTCCTGCCTTTGAAATTTTTTGGACATTCTTTTTATGCAATGGCCTTCTTACCTGTTTTCTCTGTCCTTATAGGTTTATCTTTTTCCTTTTAATGTCTTTACTGTCTTGTCAGCAGGGTCCGGGTAAGCAGCCAAAGCAAGTATCTGTGTTCAGTTTCCCAAGATTAACTAGAAACTGCCCTTAGTATTCAATGACCCCAATCTTTTTGAAAAGGAAGTATCATCCCCTATACTTCTATTAAGTTCTTTAAATATGTCGGTTAATTCTACCTAATTTATTTTTTAGTTATGTAATTTGAGATTAAATTAGCCAATTTTTTGTTCTTTTTTTTTTTTAAAAAAAACAGCTTTGTTGGAATATAATTCCTACACCACACAATTTATGCATTTAGAACATACAGTTCGATGGCTATTAGTGTATTCATAGAGTTGTGCAACCATCATCACTATCTACTTCCAAAATATTTTCATCACCCCAAAAAGAAAGCCAGTACCTGTTAGCTGTCATTCCTTAATCCAGCTATTTCCCCAGCCCTGGAAAACTACGAAAATGCTTACTTTCTCTATAGATTTGCCTCCTCTGGGCATTTAATATATGTAAATGGAATTATACAATATGTGGTGCTTTGCGACTAGCTGGTTTCACTTAACACAGTATTGTCAAGGGTTGTCCATGTTGTACCATGTATCAGTTCTTCTTTCTTTGTTAGGGCAGAGTAATATCCATTGCATGGATGGGTTACTTATCCATCTATTAGTTGATGGATATTTGGATTGTTTCCATTTTTGAGCCATTATGAGTAATGCTCCTATGGCCA